CACTTCCGTCTATAGCAGTCCCTCCAAAATACACTATAGAGATGGTTTGTGGGAGGTAAATTCTCTCAACTTTTGCTTATCTGGAAATTGTTTAATCCCTCCTTCAAATTTAAATGATAATCTTGCCAGATAAAATATTCTTGTTTCGAGGCCCTTCTGCTTCATTGCATTAAATATATCACACCACTCCCTTCTGGCCTGTAAGATTTCTGTTGAAAAGTCTGATGATAGCCTGATGGCTTTCCTTTGCATGTGATCTTATTTCTCTCTCTGGTTGCTTTTAACAGTCTGTCCTTATCCTTGATCTTTGACATTTAAATTACTATATGTCTTGTTGTTGTCTTCTTTGGGTCCCTTGTGTTGGGAGATCTTCCCCAGATTGGGGAAGTTTTCAGTAATTACCTCCTCCAAGACACTTTCTATCCCTTTTTCTCTCTCTTCTTCTTCTGGTACCCCTATGATACGAATATTGTTCTGTCCACAGTTCTCTCAATATTCTTTCACTCTTAGAGACCCTTTTTTCTCTCTGTGCCTCAGCTTCTTTGTATTCCTCTTCTCTACTTCATTTATCATCTCCTCCACCATATCTAATTTGCTTTTAAAACCTTCTATTGTATGTTTCATTTCTGATACTGTGTTCCGTAATGACTGGATCTCTGACTGGAATTCATTCCTGAGTTCTTGAATATTTTTCTGTACCTCCATGAGCATGTTCATGATTTTTATTTTGATATCTCTTCCAGGAAGATTCATGAGATTGATTTCATTTGACTCTTTCTCTGGTGTATGTATGATTTTGCTTTGAATCAGGTTCCTTTGGCCAGGCTTCATATTTGTATGTGGCGCCCTCTAGTGCCCAGAAGCTCTACTCTCCGGAGCTGTTCCACACCTGAAGCAATGTCAGGGGTCGCAGGAGAGTGGTGTTGGTGCCTGGGGAGAGGAAAGAGCTGTTCCCTGCTTCCCGGCTGCTATGCCTGTCTCCACTGCCAGAACCAGTGGGCCGAGCACACAGGTATAAGTCTCTATGCTTTGCGCTTGTAGCTGCTGTAGGTGGGGTCCCCTCTGGCTGAGCTGACACCAGGGCAGGGTTTGCTGGTTTGAGAGCCAGATGCGGGCTGGCTGGGAGGAAGGCGCAGCAGACTGTGTATCACAGAGGGGGGCTTTGGAGCTGCAGAGCCAGCTAGGGGCTGTAGTGCCTGAAGATCATCAAAGTTCCCAACCTGCTGAGCAGAGTGCACCCAGACAATTTTGTCTACCTGTCCTTTCTCCTGAGCAGTAAGCTTTGTGCAAGCCTTGCCCCTTAGGAGCCCTCTCACTGTTAGGAAGTCTCTCAGACTGTCTGCCTTTCTTTTGTCCCAGAGCAGCTGGATATAGATCCCCATTTTCCATAAGCAGCTGGAATCTAAGTCTCTCCAGGTATTCTGCCTGTCTTAGCTTTTCAACCCCCTAATCACCAGAGCAGCATGTAATGCAGGTTTGTGCTCCCAGAGCAAATCTCCAGGGCTAGGTGTTCAGCAGTCCTAGGCCTCCACTCCCTCCCCACCCCATTTCTCTTCCTCCTGCTGGTAAACTGGGGTGGGAGAAGGGCTCAGATCCTGTGCCAGAGCATGGCTTTGGTACGTTACCCTGTTCCATGAGGTCTGTTCTTTTCTCCAGGTATATGCAGTCTGGTGCAGCCCTCTTTCCTTTTGCTCTTTCAGGATTTTTGCTCTTTCAGTTTTATTAATTATATTTTCATATTATATGTGGTTTTAGGAGGAGGCCTCTGTCTCACCTCTCATTCTGCCATCTTTAATCCAAGTCTGCTGGTCAAAAATTATAATAGCTGTTATTTGGGAATACCACTACCGTGGTTATTTTTTCTATACTTCCTAATTTTCTGAAATGTGCTATTTACTAACAAAATGTAGATAGATGATCGCTAGATAGATAAGTATATAGATGATAGATAGATGATAGATGATAGTACATAGATAGATGATAGATAGATAGTACATAGATGATAGATTAGATAGAGAGATGATAGATAGATAGATAGATAGATAGATAGATAGATAGATAGATAGATAGATATAGATAGATAGATAGACAGATGATAGATAGATATAAATGATAGATAAACTGAGAGTGCTGACATTTGAAGGAGACATTTTAAGGGATAGATTAAATTATTATAATTCTAAAAGTTTGAATACCCATTTCTTAATATCTACAAAATGCCGTCCTGCTAGCAGCAGCTGTCCTAAGCACTCTCCTATCCCATCACTGAACTAAATTGCATGCTGTACCTATCAATCATCATTCAGTCAAAAAACAAAAATCACACCAGCAATCCGAACAAAGAACTTACTATAAAGAATGACTAACTGGTGAAAAGACTTATTAACTCAGACCCTGCCAAAGAGGGTGTGGCTGTGACCCACTGGATGGTAGGAAGTTTACTGAGAGGCTGCTGCTTGGAGCTGGTGAGCAGGAAATGCCCGCAGAGGTTCCAGTGAGGCTCACAGAGGGTGGGCACTGCTGTATCTCCACACAGCACCAGCAGGTCAGCCCAAGGAGCAAAAGCAAACAACAAAATCCCGGAACCAGAATGAGAAGCCCCTGCCTCCTCCTGTGACTCTGGTGCCTTTCACACCAAGTCAAAGGAGAAATGTTTGTAGGGTTCATCTCTAGGATCACAAAGCAAGGCAAAGAAGGGTGGGTCAGGGGCTGACAGGCAGGAAATTAGTAACGGGTACATTGTACTCTTGGCTTTTTTACTGAGGACCAAGGTAACATAGTTGTGCATCTTCTGTAAAATTGTTGCTAAAGTCATCACCCAATGTGTTTTTCAACCTCCCTAATAGCAGAACTTAGTAACAAGAAAAAATAAGATATTGAGCATGAATTATTGGACCTAATCATTTGCTGCTCAAGTGCTCATCTTGTTACCAAGCTTGCACTGACGTTCTGGCCCTTCCCATTCCCCTTCTCTGCTCAGCTTTTGTCATGGAACTTCTCTCCTACTAAGGTCCCCAGCACCCAGAACAGTGCTGGGCACATGCTAAGCACCCTATAAATTCTTATTGAATAAATGAATTGAATAAATCATCTACATGTGTGAGGGAATGCGAAGCATCATGTGATAGTTTCCTAGACTGAAATCGGGGTTGAATTATAGTGATAGAAAGGAACTCAGACCCTCAGAAGAAAGGCTATGTGCCACATGCCAAAGCCACAGAAATGTGGTGAAGTCTCACAGTGATGACCCTACTATGGCTCCAGCTATTAGTATGGTGGATCAAGCTTTCCTCCTGCCTTAACTTTAAATCTCTAAACCATTCCTTCCTACCAACTGAGAAGTTTCAAGAATCCCATAGCCTTGGAGATCTAGTACACAGTACAGTGATTTTACACAGCAAAACTGTATTGTAAACATTAAATATGCTAACAGAATAGATCTCACCACTAGAAAAAATGATAATCATGTGACCTGACAGAGGTGCTTGCCAAGACTACACAGACAACCATACTGAAATATGAACGTATTGAATCGTTATGTTGTACACCTTAAACTTACACAACGTTATATGTCACTTATATTTCTATTTTTTTTTAAAGCCCATGGCCTGAGTGTGGATAAGAGGAATGCTGGGAATCAAGCCAAAAGAAAATAATACTGAAGTGAAGGCCATACTGGTAACAGGAAGTTAGTATGATCCTGAATTTACAAAACTGTTGTTCTTCGGGCAACTTCAAATTTCACATGATTCTGGGTCATATATGAGGTCTTACATGCTGCTATTTTCCTCGTCTTAACCACATGATGTGTAGTTTTTTTCGGGTTTCAAAGTTTGACTTGACTCCCATTCCCTTGCCTGGGACTGAGCAGCGAGTACCAGGCAATGAGCCACCCCCACTCACTCACTCAAGGTTCACTGGGGGGATCCTGGGGGGGCTCCAGACGGCGCAGCCACAGCAGGCAGAGCCATAGGACGAAGGGCCGCTGCTCATCCTGGGGCTGTGGCCGCCACCAGTTGGCCGGGCTTCCCAGGGCACCATGGCCTTCACTCACACACAGGGGCCCATACTGAGGGGAGGACAGGGGGAAACTTGCTGGGAAACAGTCACAGACCAGGTTCCCACCAGCACCAACCCCTCCATATGGAGGAACATCATTTTTTAGTTAAATTTAATGCTCAGTCACATATTCATCTGGGTCCTTTTTATGTTTATTTTTCTTTTCTCTAAATAGTTTCCTCTTTTTTATTTCTATTTCTATTTTAACAGGTCCACATTCTGTACTGAATGCTGCCTCCAACACATCTTTGGCACTAACGGGATGTCATTTAACCAGTAAACTGAATGCTAAACCAAAGTGTAAGACTGGTCCCCAAATTAAGTCCATCTCAGGTGCAAAATGCTGATCCAGGAGAAGTGCATACAGATTTTCAGTTATTTCAAGTCCCCTTCTGAGTTCATCCTTCTTGCAGATCGTCCTAGTCCCCCTACACACACACACAGCCACTCAATCTGAACTCTTCTCCCAGTTTCCTCTCCGACTGCAAACCTCACCCTGCCCCCAGCCTCCGTCGGGGTATGAACTTGTTGCGCTCACATTCTCTGCAGCCCAGACTCGACGACAACTCTGTGAACCCACTGTGGAATTTTTCTTTTCTGGGTTTTCCTTCTTGGAGCAGGGTCCACTCCTGACAGCTTGCATAATTCCCTGCTTTTATTATCAACATTCCCCACATCCCATGGAAGCCCCATGCTCACTTCTGACCTCACCCCGTGGCTTCACGACTGACATCACTCTGTGGCTTCCATTGTCCCAAAATCCCTCTTGGGATGCCATTCTTAAGCTAAAGCACACAGTGTCCCTCAAAAGGGACAATAAAAACCCAAACAGAGCGGCTCCCTGTGCCTCTCACTGCAGGTTCTCAGTGCCCCTGTCAATTCAGGGAAGGGCTTTTGCTAGTGTGGGGAGGGGCAGGACCCTGGTCTGGATTTGTAGTTACCGTGTTTACCGCGTGAGGCTCTGCTCCTCTGCTGCCAGCTGTCACCCCTTGGGTGTTGCACGTCAGCAGCTCCTCCCAGTGCTCCCCTAGTATCTCTGAGGAGCAGATCTAACTCAGTTCCCTTATCTAGGGCAGCCAGGAGGAAGGCTGTCTGAAGGCCACGGGGAAATCAAAGGCGGGGGGATGGGACGGGAGGACAAAACAACTTCCTGGTTTCTTTCAGAGGCTTAAGAAACTCCCTAGAGGTCTGGGGGAGCTTTCAAGTTGCTTCATTTTAGTTATTCCCAAGACCTGTGACCAGTGGGTGAAAGTACCAGGGGATAACCAGTGGCTACTCTGCCCCTGAGGGTGTTAGGGCCATCTGTCACGAGGAAGCTGGTTTTTCAGCTGTCCCAGGCCATTCCCACAGCAGCTTGGATGGTAGGCCAGGAGGCCGTGCCCTTCCCTCCAGGAACTCAGTCAAGTGGTAAGTCATTTATGTGCTTAACCAGTTATGTCCACGCTGATGCCGAGGATGGTTTCACTTTTGCAAACATTTGTTCCCATCCTTTGAGAGAACAACTTAGACACCAGCCTGGCCCAGGAAGCTGCTTCGGAGGGTGAGCAAACTTTTTAAACACACAGAAAGCATGACTGACACCAATTTCATGAACCTAGATCAGGGTACTTGGTTCCCTTTAATTGTGTGTTTTGTTACAATCACCTTCAAGGAAACAAGTTTTGTTTCTACCAAGAGAGTATAAGTTCTGTGAAGAAGTGTAGTGCTTTCTGTTATTTCCTGTGGTATTAGCCTGCTACTAAGCACCTAAGTGCTAAATGTAGGTCAGTTATAGTGGTGTTCTCAGGAAGCGGGGACATGTGAAAGAAATTTTTATTTTCAGCCTCTGAGATGTAGACTGACTTGGGCCAAAATTAAGCACCAGAAAAGGGAAAGCACGGCTGACTGGCCCTAGTCCTCATTGTGGCTTCCTCCAGGACCTCCCATCTCTCACGAAGGGAAAATTATCTTTCATTTCTCCACAGGGCAGCCCGAAGATGGATAATTACACGTCAGCACCAGAGGACGAGTATGACGTCCTCATAGTGGACGACATGAGCAATTACAAAATAGCTCAATGCGATCAGTACGACACGAGGTCCCTCTCAGCCCACCTGGTGCCACCGCTCTACACGACAGTGTTCATCGCCGGCCTCCTGGGTAATGTTTTGGCTGTACTTATTCTGGTAAAATATAAAGGACTCAAACATGTGGAAAATATCTATTTCTTGAACTTGACATTTGCTAATTTGTGTTTCTTGCTGACCCTGCTGTTCTGGGCTTACACTGTCTCCCAGGAGGGGATTCTTGAGAATCCTTTTTGCAAAATTCTCGTTGCCCTCTACTCCATAGGCCTCTATAGCGAGGCGTTTTTCAATGCTCTTCTGACTGTGCAGAGGTACGTGGTGTTTCTCCACATGAGAAGCTCTGCCTGGGCTAGGAAGGTGCACTGCAGTGCTGTCACAAGCGTTCTGGCATGGGGGACAGTCATTCTGGTCATTTTGCCAGAATGCATGTTTTACAAGCCTCAGGTGGAAAGCCAGACATACCAGTGCTTCTTTAGCAGACCTCATTTTCTGCCAGCTGACGAGACATTCTGGAAGTATTTTCTGACCCTAAAGATGAACATTTTGGGATTTCTTTTTCCACTGTTTGCTTTTGTGTTTTGCTACGTGCGGATGAGAAAAACACTCAGGCTCAGGGGGAAGCAGTGTGACCTTTTCAAGCTTGTTTTCGCCATCATGGTTGCCTTCCTTCTAATGTGGGGACCCTACAATATCGCACTTTTCCTGTCTACTTTCAAAGAACACTTCTCCCTGCATGACTGCAAGAGCAACTACGACCTGGACAGAAGTGTTCATGTGCTGAAAATCATCGCTGCCACCCACTGCTGCGTCAACCCTTTCCTCTGTGTATTTCTCGACAAGGAATTTAGGAAACACCTCTGCCGCCTCTGCCATCTGTGTGATGATGCTCCGCTTCAGCCTGAGGACTCTGCACAAGATGCACCCAGGGAGGAAGGGGAATGTTCCACGGACATGTAAACTAGCCTTCTCAAAATCGGGGTAAATAAACATTGGCTTTTGTCTTGTTGTGTTGTTTTGTGTAATTTTCTTACACATTTGCATATTAAATAGGATACAGGAAGAAAAGGGGTGGTGAATGAGCATTTCTGAGCATTGAATTTGCCTCGGGTGCTGTGCTAGGCTCTTATAAACGTGAGCTCCTTCACGCCTCACTTCTCGTTCGTGGTGTGGGTGGAATTGGTCTCATTTCTCTGGGAAGGAAGCTGAGGCTCAGAAATGTGTCTAAGATCACACAGCAAGAGAGAGGCAGGTCTGGGCCATAAAGGTGCCATTGTCCCCAGAGCCTATGCTTTGTCCAGCATGCCCAATTTCCAAAAATTGGACAAGAAAACACATGAAATAAATATGTGCTCTTAAAACCAATTAGATCACATTCCAGATTAGAAGCAACCCATTCATATAGAAGTAATTTTAAGGGATAGTTTTCTGCAGATAATGAAAAGAACTGGCTAGCTGGAGACTGTGGATAAACAGAGGAAGAGCACTTGCTCTGGAATCGTCCGTGGAATTTCTTGGCTACTTGCCATACCCCCAAGGTCCCTGGATGCCCGCAACCTGTGAGCCTCCCAAGGTTTCTAGTACTTCCTCTTACTATTTAACAGTCACAAATGTAAGAGTATGTTTAGAAATGGCAAACCAATGCATGTTTTGTCCTTTTCGATGCAACATATACCTCAGGCCTCACCAGCCTGTGACTACAAAATGTCACAACAGTTAGCATGTGGAGACCACGTGCCTCTGTGTCTGTTACATATCCCAAGTAGAGTTGACAGATGAAATATGGGGCACCTGTGGACTACAGCCTCTCACCTCCATCACTGAGGAGGGAGGAGGGGTAGATGGTATCGGGCTGGGAGACTCTGCAGAGAACACAGATGGCCCACCTATGTACCTGGTGGGTGCTATGGATGAAACATGTCCCCCTGAATTCATATGTTGAAGCCCTAACCCCCAGTGTGATGGCATCTGTATAAGTGGGTACATCTGGGAGGCAATGAGGGTTAGGTAAGGTCATGAGGGTGGTGACATGATGGGATTAGTGCTCCAGAGAGCTTGCACGCTCTCTCTCCACCCTGTGAGGACACAGCAAGAAGGCGGCTGCCTGCAGGCCCGGGAGAGAGCATGCACCAGAGCCTGACCACACTGGCACCCTGGCCTTGGACTTCCCAGCCTCCAGAACCATGAGAAATAAATGTCTGCTGCTGAAACCACCCAGTCTGTGGTATTTCGTTAGGGCAGCACAAACTGACAAAGAGGGCTCCATCCAGGAGGATAAAAGGCAAACAAAAATACCATGACCATCAAGAGCAAGACTACAGAAGAAAGTACCTCAGCAGATATGAAAAGAAGGCTAAGACGTTCAAGAAGAGAAGGAATAGGGACAGAGAAATTCTCTTCACAGATTTATACAAGCAGGTCTGGACTCTCCATCCACTTCTACTGCAAGTACGGCAGAAATCTCAGAGAAAATAGCATGATTTTTCAGATGTTTACAGACATGGTGATGAACTCAAAGAACAAATCTCATCCTAATTTTAAGAATGAAAACATGGAGTATAGAGAGGTAAGGATCTATGAAGTCTTACAGTAGACGGAGAGGGAAATGATGCTTGAAGCCCTAGAGCCATGCTGAGTGACCCAGCTACAGTGCACTCACAGGTAGCGCACTTGGAACGGGGTCATCCTCCCGCACCAGAACAAGGAGATGGCCACCCAAAGATCAAAACAGCACACGCTGTTGCACTTTTCCATGAACTACTGCATTAGAAAAACTAACCACCAGTGAAAAGGCAAAGAGAAGGTGGCTACACAGTCAAGAAAAACTGACAGTGTTTCTATTTTGCCTGGAAATCATTTTCTAATGCAAAAAGAAATGTCTTATGGATGGAGGCAGAACCCACACTCAAAGAGTGGGTAGAAGGTCAAGGTAATTTGGATCTGGGACATTTGAAAGCCTGAAATCTCATGAGCAATTTCCTATCCATCTCAATTCTATATATTTGTGGTACTACTAATGAAACAAATTTGAAAAAAGGAAACATGATGGATACAGTGATTGAAAAAGCAATAAAATTTGAAGTTGAAAAAAAAAAAGACAGGATGCCCAGTTAAATGTGAATTTCAGTTAAGCAATGGCTGAGCTTACTTCTCTTTTTTTCAAACATGCTGTGTTATCCCCATGTTACCCACCTCCTAAGAACTGCTTACCCTTTTCTGGTCTCAGGCTCTCACACCCAGACTGAATTTCAGTAGGATTTTATCCTTCACACAGTTCCTTCCCAGACGTATCTGTGCCACATGAGTCCTTCAAAGGAAATTTGAGTATCAGTCTCATTTTATAAGTGTGGAGACTGGGACTTAAATCACAGCGTTTCCAAGGGTCAGTCTGGACTTATCATTTGCTGACAGCAAACCCAATGCTCTCGCCACCACCCAGCACTTCCGTACTTGCCTCTAGGGCTTGGTCTATGGAGTGAGCTCCCCAGTATTGCTGCTCTGGAAGTTTCCCAGCAGTCCTGGGGATTGGGGGATGGAGGTTCCTACAATTGCTGCTCCCTTCAGCCACCCACTTATAGACACGGAGAAGAGCAAAGTTCTTCTCCAAAGAACCATCTCTGGCATATCTAATGGAAAAAAATCTTGACCCAAATTTCAGGTTCTGAGTCCCTTGATCTTTCCCTCTGATGTGATCTTTAGATCTGTGGAGGGGAATGAGTCACCTCCCTGGGGACCCTTGCCAGCCTGCTCTGGGAGGGGGTGGGAAGGGTGGGAAGGGTGGGAAGTGGTGTCTGTCTCTCCCTGTGGGTCCTAACGTAAGCCATCTAGCTTACTTGCACCTTAGACAACTGGGGATAAGGCGCCTTCCCTCCCAGGCTGCTGGCTGTGAGGACAGCTGAGTGAGCAGGTGGTAACTGGCTGGCAGGACACTGCCACACAGCACTTTCCCTGGCTCCCTCCCCAGATCCTGACTGCACCCTGACTAGGCTTGAATTTCAGTTCACATAGGCCTTTTCCTCCCATGCTGGCCTCCTGCAGCCACTCCAGGTAAGTGACTGATATATTTGACAAAAGAAACTGGGGATATGTGGCCATTCCCCTGCTTCTTTGTTCAGGGAGTTGGGGGGGAGGCGGGATTAGATCATCTCACCTGCATCACCTACAACAAAAAACAAAGAATTTGATGAAAAAGTGGGCAGAAGAACTGAATAGACATTTTTTCCAAAGAAGAAATACAAATGGCCAACAGACACATGAAAAGTTGCTCCACATGATTGATTATCAGGGAATGCAAATCAAAACCTCAGTGAGATATCGCCTCACACCGTCAGAATAGCTAATATCAGTAAGACAAGAAAAAACAAGCGCTGGTGAGGATGTGGAGAAAAGGAAACCCTCCTGCACTGTTGGTGGGAATGTAAACTGGTGTAATCACTATTAAAAATAATATGGAGCTTCCTCAAAAAATTAAAAATAAAAGTACTGTATAACATAGTAATTCTACTTCTGGGAATTTACCCAAAGAAAACAAATCACTAATTCAAAAGATATATGCACCCCTATGTTTATTGCAGCATTACTTACAATAGACAAGATATGGAAGCAACCTAAGTGTCCATCAATAGATGAATGTATAAAGAAAATGTGGTACATATACACAATGAAATGTTATTCAGCCATAAGATGGATCCAGAGGGCATTATGCCAAGTGAAATAAGCCAGACAGAGGAAGATAAATACATGTAATTCACTTATATGTGGAATCTAAAAAATAAACAAATAAAAGAAATAGATGCATAAGCATGGAGAATAATCTGATGGTTGCTATGAGAGGAGAGTTTTGGGCAAAATAGGTGAAGGGGTTAAAGAAGTACAAACTTTCAATTATAAAATAAATAACTTATAGGTAGGAAAAGTACAGCATTGGAAATACAGTCAATGATATTGTAATAACTTTATGCACTTGGGAACTGCACTCATTATGGTGAGCATTTTGCTATGTACATTATTGTTGGATCGCTGTGTTGTACTCCTGAAACTACTGTAATATTGTACATTAACTATACTTCACCAAAAATGTTTTCTTCTGCCCTCGACCACACAGTCAGCTCAGCAAGTGTGCTCTGTGAATCTGCGGACAGCCCTCCCCACCTGAGTCCCTGCACACATGCTCCCCACGTGCTCCTTCAGGCACCTGTCTTTGCAGTGTGCCTGCTGCATACTATCTAGGGGTGCACACAGCCTGCTCACCGTGTCTCAGGACCCTTCTCAGCTACACTGTGCAACCAGGCCCTCAGTCCTTTGCAAAGTACACAGCCTGTCCCCAAGCCTGTGCCAATTCCATCTGGCGACAATTCGTGTGTATACTCATTGTTTCTCCGCTCTCTCATCTCTGAAGGACTCCAGGGCAGAGTCTGTCTAGTTCATCTCTGAATGAACTAGAAGAGATGGGACACGGTGATGGATGCGGAGGCAGCCGAGGGAGAGACTGCTGCCAACACAGGTGCTGTTATTTGTCGCTGCTCCTCCACCCCCAAAGAGGTGACATTGATGCCTATGAGGGAAGTGAAGAGGGAGGGGTTGACTGCCGATGTGTAGTGGGAGCACTTCCTTAAAAAAAGGCTTAAAGACATTCTAGGGACAATTGGAAAAATATGAATGTGAACAAGGTATCAGATGACATGGAATTATTATTTTCAAGTGTGACAATGAAATTATGATTATGTGGAAGAATTTCCTTATTCTTAGAGGATTCATGCTGAAGAATTCAGGGGTGAAATGTCATAGTGACCACCACTTACATTCAAATTGTTTAATCTCATACATGCACATGCATACATGTGCGCGCGCATGCACACACACACACACACACACACCATGTATACAAATAGAGGAAATGAGGAGGAAAAACATGTCAAAATATTAACAATCGTTAAATCCAGATGTAGGGTCCATGGATGTTCATTGAACCCTCGCTGACCCACACTGCATAAACAGAATTTTTCATG